ACCAAAAAACACCGACCAGCGTCCACAGCCCCATCGAAGCCCCGACACCGGACTTCAGCCCACTTCGAGCGTGACTAAGCTAAGCCCGAGCAGCGGGTGGGAGCGCAGTGGTCGACGCTCTAATTGGGCTCTTAGAAGGCAGGCCAGCTCAGACCAGGACGGCGTCACTGCTCTTCGGCAACTTCCATACGAGCCTCCGCCATTGGAACGTTGCAAAAGACGTACCCTCTGCAGCGTTGGCGGCGCAAGAATGAGGTCTACGAAGAGGCGCCGGCGTAGGTGTTTCCTGATTCTGGACAGTCATTTCATGTACTGCGGCAAGGTTTCGCGAACGCGAGAATTTGTCGATCAGTCTTTTGTGTGATTTCGCGCATGACACAGCTCCAGGTTTCACGACAGAGACATCTATGTCTTATATTAAACAATGTGAACACTGTTAGTTGCACAGGAGATAACAAAGATGGAAGCTGGGTTTTCTTGCATGTGTATTTCGCTTGCTGTGAAGCTGTTCGAAATTGAACCATGGGAGCGTCGACAGACCGCAATTATTGGCAAGGCACGCGTTTCCTACCTGCTAGTACTATATTAGTGATTATAGCGTGCCAACAGTCGCGCCGGCGAGAGCGAATTGGCCAGCCTCCGCGGCGTCGTATGTTGGACGTAGGATTTCGACGGGAATTTACACGGAAACTCGGCGAATTAATAGCGTCCAAAGAGAGTAGGCCTTATGCTGATAGCAAACAGTGAAGAAGGTTGGTAGTACAATAGATTTCGTAATTTAGTTAAGCATTCTTATTTTATATATATTTAGTAGGAGTACTGTAACGCACTAACACGGAGTCGTCATTATTAGTACTTACTAGTACCCGGTAACCACAGTTTGTCATTAATTAGCTATTAGCCCTCCTGGTATTAGAGCTAGGTTACTAGTAGCTGTGCAGTGCCTGGCGTACCTGAGTGCAGTACTGCAGTGAGTGAGCTTACTAGTAAATTATTGCTACGACATTGTACTTGTAGCTAGTTTTTTCTTATCTAGTAATACGACAAGTATATTCGTACGGTGTGGGATAACAATTCGGCGGGATGCTCGCAATCTGGCGGATCGTGTCTAGTATCAATATATAGAGGTGCCTGTAGAATCACGACGGCTGTTCCTTAGCCCTCGGAGCACTCGGAATTTCACCGTGGAATTCTTAGGAACACTACAGTTCCAAGCTTCCACTGTTCACAGTTTCAGGCCCACTTCTGACACCATGCTTGAAATCTTAGTTTGATTGAGAGTTAACTATGCAAAATAACAATAGCAGATAAGAGTGACAATGCAAACTACACTGTAACTCGATTTATTTACGAATACGCGAAAAAATGTTATTTCCTATATTATCGGATCCTCCAACTCCAAGCAGTCCGAACGCTACGCCACTGAGCCGGCTAACTATATATTGTTACAATGTGAACAAAAAACTCCGTTATTACAGCAAAGAAAGCGCGCCTAGTAGCGAACAAAGAATTGGGAGCATTTCTAGCCAGTCTCGACCTAACTGGGTAGTGGGAACCCTCGTGCAATGGGCAGAACTGCTCAATTCAGCAATAAAACGGCTTTCACCTATACCTAGAAAGGACCCGAGCAATGGGGTTGGGAAGAGGGCAGCGAAATCGCAAAAGTGCGCCGCTAGGGCGGCGTTTGAGCGCTTCGCGCGGATATCCGGCTGCAGATTGTCTAGTTAATTTTTTAAATTAAATTGTAATTAGTGTTAGTGTTAGGTTTAGGGTTAGGATTAGGGTTAGGGTCACAATAATGCACCATAAAAGTTTTATTAAAACAGGAGTTTCAGGCACGTGATTTGTATCAACCAATGGGATTTGGGAGGTATGCAGACCCTAGCTGCGAGTCACATTGACACTATTACAGTACACTGTACAGTCCAGTGTAGTACGCAGAAATAGCTTATTAACGGTACACACACGATACATCATACAAGGAATAGGCCTACACCCTAGGTGGTTAGAATATACCCTGCAACACCCATGTTGTAGTTGTAGCGTGTCTCACTGCCTGCGTGTTGTAACAGCCATGGGCATGGATGGATGCCTAGGCCATGGGTAGATATACCACCTGATAGTGAGAGTGTGTCACCAGAAACAGAGGCACTTACAACGTTTCAGTAATAATAATATGTTTCTCTTTTCTCATTTGCCTATTATTTGTAATAATTTTGTGTAAATAACGTTTAAATGCAGCCCTGCCGGTGCAAGGATAGAGAGCATAGCGAGATTGAGAACTATGTAGAGTAACACATCGGCTTTGCTCTCACAACCATGCTCTCTATCATTGAGCCCCTCTGCCAATCTTTGAGTTTCACTGCGCGCACGTCACTGTGCACAAACAACAGAAATATAGAGATTCTATTCTATAAATAATATAGAACTATATATATCTGTTGTTTGTGCATAGCATCGTGGGTGTGGTGAGGATGTGTGTTGCAAAAGTGCAGTTGAACTGCATTTACGTGGAATAATTTGACAATAGACATTACATGAACATTGTGACTGGTAGTAAACACATTTTTTTTTTTTTACCATCATTTTATTATTAAAACGTTCCACACTGCCTAATTAAGAAACCGAATATGACACCTCCACATTTCACCTATGCTGCATTTCTTGCAGAAATGAAATGCATTTATTGTAGAGTTAAAAAAATTGGGTAAAAATGTGTTAACTTAGTATTTTTACACAGCTTGATTTTGGCCATCGTTTCTTGTGGCCAACAGCATAGCTTGGATTCCCTGAAATCATATCCCAAGGTATCATGGTGTAAAATTGCAATTTGTGCATATGTGTAAAGTTATTAGGTAAAAATAATAAATTAATCCATTTTTACCACACTATTTTACTACAAAAAAGAGTTAGTTAGAGGACCGACACAATCGGTGAAGAAATTGAAGAGATAATTTTCAGGTGAAAAATACACAGGTTAAATCTGCAGGTTGAATATTCAGGTTAAATTTGCAGGTTAAACTTGCAGGTCACCTCTGTTATATAACAACTGATACATACCTACCTATAACCATTCTGTGAAATAAAACATATCTGTGTCAAAGTACAGTAAAACCTCGCTTATCCGAACATCAATTATCCGAATTTCGGATTATACGAACAAGATCTCAAGGTCCCCGTGAATATTTAATAAGCCACTAGACCGCCTAAAAACTCTGTAAACATGCTTTTTACGCACAGTAATGATGTTCAGTATGGCTTCCTTTATTTACAATCGGATCAGTTATCCGAACAATCGGTTATCTGAACAAAATACTCCCCGCTCGGGTCGTTTGGATAATTGAGGTCTAACTGTAGTATTGATTTGATCCACTGCCTCCATCTGCCACCTATCTTGCCTGAACTGTTTTTATCGCATGGAGTTGCTGTATGTGTGTTTATTGTGGTTTACTAGAACACATCTTATTACCTGCAGATTTGACCTACAAATTTAACCTGCAATCTGAAATTTGATCCCTCCATGAAGAAATTTTTACTTAGTCGATTTATTATTGTTGTCATAAAATAATACATTTTGGCTGGTTAAGCTAGAGTGTGAATTATAATTTCTTCCTTAGAGTTATCTCACACTCGTTCCTAATACCGTGTGTGTGAATACAATACTCGTACTATGTGAGAATATGTTGTATAAAGTTTAGAAATGCAATGACAATTACATTAACAAATACCGGTACAATGTAATGTACGTCAATACTTGTGATGTTTAAAGGGATACTTTCCCCAAGAATGGATTGGAACGGGATTGAATTGAGAGTATATTATGATAGTAGATTCATAAATAATAGCATATACCTACAAATTTCTATAATTACGCATTAACATTTGCCATAAAACGACATTGAATTTCGAAATCTAAATTTTTGGGTGCTGACATGACACCC